GGTTAGGGTTAGGGTTAGGGTTAGGGTTAGGGTTAGGGTTAGGGTTAGGGTTAGGGTTAGGGTTAGGGTTAGGGCAGGGGGGCTGGAGGGTGGGGAGTGCAGGAGTCAGGGAAGGGGGCTGGAGATGTGGGGGTGCAACCTGCTCTTAAATATCCCCAGAGATGGAGACTCCACAACCCCCCCAGGCAATGGATTCCCGTGTTTCACCCCCAGACAGGCAGGAAGTTTTTCCCTAATGTCCAACCTGAACCTCCCTGGCTGCAGTGTAAGCCCCTTGCTTCTTGGCCTGTCCTCAGACATTAAGGGAAATAATTGTTCTCCCTCCTCCTTGTAGCCCCCTTTCAGGTGCTCGGGGTCTATTTGATCTGCTGCAACCCTCAGATTAATGTTTCCTCTAAAGCAGTGGCACCATCTTGTGGCTAGAAAGAACTGGCGGCTATTTCCTGTGCCTGGCTCCCTCCTGTCTTCTGGAGGAGAGGAGCCAAGGGCTGGTGCCAGGCGGACGGAGCTCTGCCTGCAGGCCGTGTTCAGGAGACGGGGGTAGAACAGCGCATGTCGCATCCTACCTTGTGTTGAGTCAAGCCAAGGCTGACAGGATTGCGGGGGTCCTCTAGCAATCACAGCCTGGCTCACACAGTGACCACACCCGCCTTCTGGGGGTCCCTCAGCTGACCCCGTTTCAGTCCCAAAGGAATTTCCTTTCCTTACCCCGCCGGCGCAGCGTTGGGCCCTGGTGCTTTCCTGGCGGTGTTGCAATTCTCACAGCTTCCCTCTCAGTTGCTGGAATCCGGCCCGGGGGAAGGCGTCCGGAAGACAGGGTGCCCAGCATCTTCCTGTGGACTGAGAGAACCAGGGAATAGAGACTCTTCCAATGACCTTGGCTTGGGCATTGTAGACTCTCAAGGGCAGTAGGTGATCCCGTGGCTACAGGAGGCAAGCCCCACCAGCCACACACACCAGAGACCATGCTCACCCTCACAGGCTGCTGGCAAATTCCCCCCTCCCTGTCCCAGGGTAGCACCCCCAACCTCTCCCAGCCCTGGAGCCCCAGGGAGCCGGGGGGCGGCGCAGCCCCTACCCAACTACGTTGAAAGCATCACTGCGCTTGACTCAAGTGAGGAGCAACCTTCCGGTGAACTTTGCAAGCCCTTCGTTAACTCTAGCGAGCAAACACATCACTTGACAACGAGACTAATGCAGAAGGAGTGAGGCTGGGGTCCCAAATCCTGTTGACAGTCGCAATCACTTGTGTCTATCTCACTGCCTGGTCGCTGGTTCAAATTACGATCGAGTTCGTGATCAAGATCAAAACTCACCTAGCTAAGGGCTAACGCTGAAGAACTCTTGGGAGCACTTTAAAGACTAACAAACCATGTCGACGGTATCATGGCACAGCCCACTTCTTCGGATGGACCCAGGGAAAAGAAACTCGTGAAGAATTTCACGAGGATTTCAACAACTTCTACCCCATCATCAACCTCAGCCTGGACCAGTCCACGCAGGAAATCCACTTCCTGGACTCCACAGTACAATTAAATAATGGACAAATTTCCACCACCTTCTATCGGAAACCCACCGACCACTACACTTACCTTCATGCCTCCTGCTTCCATCCCAGACACATTTCTAAATCTATTGTATACAGTGGTCATCTGAAGAAGTGGGCTGTGCCCACAAAAGCTCATGTACATGTTTTGTTAGACTTTAAAGTGCTACCAGACTATTTGTGTTTTTTAAATGTATCGTGTACGGACTAACTCGGCTGCCCCCTGAAGCTTTTGAACTCTTGTGAGACGAGTCGATGATCTCAGGCTAGTTCCTAACGACCTGGTGACAAGTGCCCTAAGAGAAGCAGGCAGGCAGACGAGGGCAGAGATGGTTCCTTACGTTTTTAACTCGCCTCACAGAAGAAGCCTCTTTGGGTTTGTAGCCCTTCTGTGGATTTTTCTTCTTTCCACTGCTCCCATTGCGCGAGAGGGTGGCCACACCGAACCAAGGTGAAGGGCATAAAATTGATGCATCTTATGTGGATTATGTTTGGGGTGTTATTCTAGCGCCATTGCTTTAATGCAGTCGAATACCTGGTTTGCACTTCCAACCATTTGCTCAGTGGGGAGTTTAGTACAAATCAGGGAAAAGGGAAGCGTTTTAGTGTTGGGTTTGCGCAGAAACAGGGTAACCTCTTTATTTTACTTCCTAATCAAGGGGTCTTGCCCACAAGGAGAGCAAAATCAAGATGAGTTACCTTGGCTACATGGATGAAATCGCATCGTGTGTCGGTGTAAAACCCAATGTGCTGCTGCTATTCCTGACGGATCCCAAGCTGGCCTGGGAAGTTTTCTTTGGCCCATGTACCCCCTGCCAGTATCGCCTGACTGGACGAGGACAATGGGCTGGAGCCAGAAACACCATCCTGACCCAGTGGCACCGGGCCCTGAAGCCCTTGAGAACTCGAGTCGTAACCGTTCTTGGCCTGCCTGTACTCCTTTGTGCTGGTTTAGTTCTATGTGACAAAGTAGGTTTAGGGGCTATTCCCAGGTGGAAAATGGGCTTTATGAAAGGAGGCTTCCAAGCAGCTTTTGTAGGTTCTAAGCTCTGCCGCTAGACAACCAGAACTTCCATGGCCGGAACCATTCACCAGCTCCCGGAAAAAATCAAACCCTTCCAGCCCGGCTCCTCCCCATCAGATTGACACCGGAGACCACCACTGGCCTCGACAGTTTGAGAATACACATACTCGCTCTCCAGCTGACATGAAGTTAGTCCTAGGGCCAACCATTGGCTGAAGAAGCTCTGATAACGCGTAGCCAGAGAGAGAGCAACGGAGATACAGGGATTACTAACCCAATCAGTATCTCAGATCATTACAGCTCAGATTTCACCATTGACCCTGCTTGGTTACTGATTGCATGTTGTTCATCTTGGATTGTAAGGCTGCTTCTGTCTGGTGCGGAGAGAAGTTGTGTAAGTAGGTTTCTAATCATTGGGGAAACTGTCTTGGTAATGGGTGAGATAGTTCAAATATTTGTTAAGTCCTTGTTGGAAAGTGTCGAATTTTAACATGAATGACAGTTCAGAGGATTCCCTTTCAAGTGCAGATGTAAAAGGTCTTTGTAGCAGAATGCAGGTGGTTAAGTCATTGAGAGAGTGTCCTTTCTGGTTAAAATGGCAAGAAACTGTTTTCTCTTTGTGATCTTGTCTGATATCTGTTTTGTGGGCATTAATCCTTTGGCGAAGTGTCTGAGATGTTTGCCCAATGTACATAGCAGACGGACACTTTCGGCACACGATAGCATAGATTATATTTCTGGATGCGCAGGAATATGTGTTCTTGATCTTATAACTCACTTGGTTAGGCCCAATAATGGTGTCAGCAGAGTGAATATGTGGACAAAGCTGGCAACGGGGTTTGTTGCAAGGGAAGGTACCAGGGTTGGTATTAGTGTGGTATGTCCTGTGGTGGTTGGTAAGAATCATCTTGAGGTTAGGTGGTTGTCTATAGGAGACTATGGGTCTGTCTCCCAGAGCCTCTTTGAGTATGGTATCCTGTTCCAATATAGGCTGTAGTTTATTGATAATGTGTTGGACAGGTTTAAGTTGGGGGTTGTAGGTGATGACAAGTGGTGTTCTATTGTTGGTTTTCTTGGGTCTGTCTTGAAGTAGATGGTTTCTAGGTATTCGTCTGGCTCTTTCAATTTGCTTTTTTATTTCTCTGGGTGGGTAGTTGAGATTTATAAATGCTTGGTAGAGATCCTGAAGCTTCTGGTCTCTGTCAGTGGGGTTAGAGCAGATGCGGTTGTATCGAAGGGCTTGGCTATAGACGATGGATCGTGTGGTGTGTTCTGGATGGGAGCTGGATGCATGTAGGTAACTGTATGAGTCAGTGGGTTTTCTGTAGAGAGTGGTGTCTAATTTTCCATTGTTGATTTGTACGGTGGTGTCCAGGAAGTGGATCTCTCGTGTAGAATGGTCCAGGCTGAGGTTGATGGTGGGGTGTAGGTTGTTGAAATCTCTGTGGAATATCTCCAGTGTTTCTTGGCCATGTGTCCAGATCATAAAGATGTCATCGATGTACCGTAGGTAGAGGAGGGGTGAAAGGGGACGGGAGTTGAGGAAACGTTGTTCTAGGTCAGCCATAAAGATGTTAGCATACTGTGGGGCCATGCGTGTACCCATGCCAGGCTTCTGATTTATTTGAGGGCCCAACTGACAATTTTCAAATATTCTTGGTTGGCAGTTCTGTGTGTATGTAAATCCTGCAGTCGAGTGATTCAAGTAAAACACCAAACATGATGGGAATTTGTACAAGCTCTCGTCAGCAGTGCCAGCATCTCGCTTCATTTGCTGGCTCACTTAAAGCCACAACTCCTGGAAATGACTGTGAGAATTCCAGATTTCATTTGAAAATTTCCGTATGGCTTTGCCTGCCCACAATTCTTGCAGCGCTGTAGCTATAGCGGTTTAATTATGTATTTTATCTTGAGTTCAGTCCTGTGCTGTGTCCTCTAGGCCATTAAGACGATACAACTTCCTTGTTTGGGCTCGGCTATACCAGTACAGATTATTCCTGTGCAGGAAAGAAAATCCACTATACTTCTATAAGGCCCCTTAGCCACAGTTTTCTATAGTATTAATTTGGATGGGGGATGTGATTTTTTTTAAAAAGTATACAGTATATTCATACCAGTTACAGCTACTAGTGTGGAAGCTGTTATATTGCTGCTAAGTCTACACTGAAATTAGTTATCTATGGCTGATTCATGTCAGCTGACTCAGACGGGAAGGTCTTGGGATAAGGGGATGTTTAATCGTGCTGTAGACTTATCCACTCATGTTTCTGCCCTACCACTTGGACTTTTCCACCTACTTACCACCTCTCGGCAGTATTGTCTTCAAGTCGTCATTGTCAAGTCCAAATCGAGTCTCAAGTCACTACAGTTCAAGTCTCAAGTCGAGTCTCCAGTCCCGAAAGTCACTTTTGAGTCAAGTCCCAAGTCGAATCTCAAGTCTTAATTTAAAAAATGTCAAGTCACTTTTGTACAAGCCATCGATATTGGCATTTTCGGACAATTTTTTCACCAAGTCGATTTAATAAAATGAGAAAGTCTCAAGTCGAGTCTCAAGTCACAAATAATGAACCCAAGTTGAGTCTCAAGGCCCCTAGGTGACTGAAGTCGGACTCGAGTTCAAGTCGTGGGACTCGAGTCAACAACTCTGCCTCTCGGATCCTAGAACTCAGGCTTTAGCCCGAGCCTGAATGTCTGCACTGCAGTTAAAGAGCCCCTTAGCCCTAGCCTCATGAACCTGAGTCCACTGGCACGGGTAAGCCGTTGGTTTTCAATGGCAGAGGGCTTCGTTGCCAGCTCTCGTCCTTGCAGAGAAAAGCTTGGCAATGTCCTGAAGTGCATCTGACACACTCACAACACGGAAGGGAGGGGAGGGCCCACTGATGGTTTAAATTCTCACAGGGTGCGTCGAGACTGGCAAGATTTCGCGCAAAAGCCTGTCTATACTGGCCGCAAGAATTTGCGCAAGATTTTGTAGTGTACCAAATCAGTGCTTCTTGCTCAAATACTTTGATGGTCCCACTCAGGCTTAGCCCTCTTGCGCAAGAGGGCCAGTGTAGACAGGCAAGTTAATATCTTGCGCAAGAGAGCGTCTGTGCTGGCACGGATGCTTTTGCGCAAAAGATGCCTTATGCACAAAAGCATCCGTGCCAGCACAGACGCTCTCTTGCGCAAATACTTTGAAGGGGAAAACTTTTCCGTTAAAAGTATTTGCGCGAAATCATGCCAGGCTAGAGGCAGCCACGATGGTTAAGGCACTCTCCTGATTTCCAGATCCTGGCTGGTGGCAGGCTGGCCTTACCCTGCCACTCAGTTGGGGGGGCAGCAGGGATCCTCCCCCCAGCCCCACAGCGCCGCGCCGGGGGCAGTTGGGGGGGCAGCAGGGATCCTCCCCCCAGCCCCACAGCGCCGCGCCGGGGGCAGTTGGGGGGGCAGCAGGGATCCTCCCCCCAGCCCCACAGCGCCGCGCCGGGGGCAGTTGGGGGGGCAGCAGGGATCCTCCCCCCAGCCCCACAGCGCCGCGCCGGGGGCAGTTGGGGGGGCAGCAGGGATCCTCCCCCCAGCCCCACAGCGCCGCGCCGGGGGCAGTTGGGGGGGCAGCAGGGATCCTCCCCCCAGCCCCACAGCGCCGCGCCGGGGGCAGTTGGGGGGGCAGCAGGGATCCTCCCCCCAGCCCCACAGCGCCGCGCCGGGGGCAGTTGGGGGGGCAGCAGGGATCCTCCCCCCAGCCCCACAGCGCCGCGCCGGGGGCAGTTGGGGGGGCAGCAGGGATCCTCCCCCCAGCCCCACAGCGCCGCGCCGGGGGCAGTTGGGGGGGCAGCAGGGATCCTCCCCCCAGCCCCACAGCGCCGCGCCGGGGGCAGTTGGGGGGGCAGCAGGGATCCTCCCCCCAGCCCCACAGCGCCGCGCCGGGGGCAGTTGGGGGGGCAGCAGGGATCCTCCCCCCAGCCCCACAGCGCCGCGCCGGGGGCAGTTGGGGGGGCAGCAGGGATCCTCCCCCCAGCCCCACAGCGCCGCGCCGGGGGCAGTTGGGGGGGCAGCAGGGATCCTCCCCCCAGCCCCACAGCGCCGCGCCGGGGGCAGTTGGGGGGGCAGCAGGGATCCTCCCCCCAGCCCCACAGCGCCGCGCCGGGGGCAGTTGGGGGGGCAGCAGGGATCCTCCCCCCAGCCCCACAGCGCCGCGCCGGGGGCAGTTGGGGGGGCAGCAGGGATCCTCCCCCCAGCCCCACAGCGCCGCGCCGGGGGCAGTTGGGGGGGCAGAAGGGAACCTTCCCCAGCCCCATAGCGCTGCTCCTCGGGAGCCGCGCAGCGGGGCCCTTTTTTTCCTTCCCCGTCTCGAGGCCGGCTTTGGTTGCGCCTGGGTTTTCCTC